AAAAAAAAAAAAAAATTAAAAAAAAAATATGTAAGTTTCGAAACGAAACTTATATTACTTCCAAGAAAAAGAGGCAGAAAAAAGGTGTGAGAAAAGAGGGAGAGCGAAAGGGGAAGCAAGGGAAGGACGAAAGGGAAAGGAAAGGACAATAGGGGAAGGGAGGGAAAGGACGAAAGGACAGGGGAAAGTAGGGACGAAGTGAAGTGAAAGGAAGGGATGAAAGGGAAAAGTTTAAAAAAGATCCTTTTTTAAACTTTGATACGCATAACGCGTAACGTTTAATTAGACTATTCGACCAATGTCTAATCGTAGATCATGGTCAAATTTTTAATTGAATATAGGCTGGCCTTTTTCGACTAGTGAAATCGGAAATCGGCTATGCCGAATGTCACCTGATATACAGACGATTGTTAATTATTAGCCAAAATTTAGCCGAAATAAGGACGATTTGCCTTATTTCCGATTTGCCTTATTTCGACTAATGTATAGATTATTTGAATAATATACACTACTTACAAAGACTCAGAAAAATTCCATTTTTATAATAAATAAATAGATCAGAATTTTTGCTGTATTATAAAATAAACAGAATTTTATGATTTTTAATAATTTTATTCTGATATGTGACAACTAGCCAATCATTATTGATTATATTGTGATAAAATTTGTAAAAATAGTAAATTACAATTATTTTTGGCTAAAATTATTGTTATATTACTAGCATAACTTAAACCTACATTAAAATATAAGTCTGCTAAAATTATTAAGTGTTTCTTACTATAATTAATAATTTTTTATTAGAACTAGGAAACAGAAACCGTTGTAAGTCTGGAGTAAAAGATTTTATATAAAATCCAAATATCTTTAAAAATTCAATTTATACAAAAAATCTGGCATCCCTAAAAAATAAAACTAAAAAATGAAATGTTAGAAATGTTTCTTTAAAGTTAAACAAATAAGAAAAGCCTTTACAATTTACCTTTAAAGTCTGACATGTACAAAAAATCTGCGTTCTTAGATAAAAGAAAATAAAAATGAAATGTTAAAAATGTTTTTTTAAAGCAAAACAAATAAAAAAAAACTCACCAGTCCATACAAGAAATCCAGAAATCCTAGGTAAAAAATAAGAAAACATTTCTTTGAAGTTATTTAAAAAAAATATATACTTACTGACTGAAATCTAAAATCATAAACTTTTTTACTTGTTTATTTTTGATGTAGCATAAAATTTTAATACACATTCTGTGCAGACCAATCAGAAATGATGTGTGCGGACAACTGGAAATCACCACATGACACTAATTGTCATTGATCTTTGTAAAATTATATAATCCTTCGCTACGCTCTAGACAATAAATTTTTTCCATTATTATAATAAAAATTTGCAATTTAATATCAGAATAAATTTGGATTTCTGCCTATCTGTATAACTAAATAACTGAATAATTGTGCATATATAAAATCTCAAATAGAAGTTTATTAGTATTTTATAGTATAATTTAGTTTTACTTGTATTTATACCTTTTTTTTACCTTAACTAATAAATATACAGCATATTAAATAAAAAAATATAAATATATAATAAATAGTAAAATTTAATTATTTGTTTAAAATTATGACTTATATTAAACAGTAATTTATATATATTATATTTAATTGGTTATTATTAATAATATTGCCTTTTTAAACTAATGACTTTAAAATTATTTTAAATAAGGTTACCTATCAAAACTAGAAAATTTAGCAAATTGATAAAATGATAAAAAGTCAGAACTTGATGAAATTATATTAAAATCTTATTAAAAAACTAGCAAAACTATAATAAACAAAACTATATTAAATATTAGTAAATGATAAAACTATATTAAATTCTTATTAAAAAACTGATAAAATTGAAATGCATAAATTTCAAATAGGTTTAGATAGGTAATTCTAATTTAAAAAATTACTTTAAATTTTAAAAAATCAATTTTTTATTTTACAGTGATACCTCTATAAGTGCACCTTTTATAAGTGCATGCACTATATAAATTCTCTTTAAGTGCATGGTGGACCTGGTTGCAACTTATATAAGAGCTCTTAATATTTTACTCTCTATAAATGCACACCCTCTCTAAGTGCACATTCTACTATTTTTTTACTATGGTCCTAAGGGGGGTGCACTTAGAGAGGTGTCACTGTACAAATTTAGTTTTAAATTAATTTTTAACTAATTTCTGTTAGTTTTAAGTTTAGAATTAGTTTAAATTAGTTTAGAATTAATTTAAAAAATGAAGTTTAGTTTAAAAGTTTAAAATTAGTTTAGAAAATGAATTTAAATTTAAAAAATAGCTTTAATTATCAATAAGATGAATAATTCTTTCTTACTTAGTGAAGTGGTAATAGCCTTAGAAGTATAAGTTACTAAAATTAGATTACCTAAATATTTTTCATCTAAGACTTACATATTATGTATATTCATTCATAAATAATGCTTTAACTCATAAATCTCTAAACTGAATTGAAGGCTTCATCTATTTCTGCTCTGATAACTGATAATATGTAAAATTAATATAAGATAGTTAACAGGTAAAGATGAACGGAAGGAAAATAGGTAAAAAAATATAACTTTTTTATAAATTCATATTTGAAAGAAGAGGATTGAAATATCTACTCGATTGTAGATCTTGTAGAATAATCCATATTCTTGTTTATTAAGACGCGCTTGTTCGATTAAATATTACGAAAAGTGGTTCAAGAGTAGATTGACCACTAACTCCAGCTCTGTTATTAATTTGTAAAATATTGTTAGTCGATAATACCGTATTAAGTTTGTTGGTTAAAAATTTCACTAGAAATTTTCTACTACACTCTAGCAGAGTGATTGGTCGTGTGTTCTTTAATTGACAATCCAATCATAAGTTTTAGGTATAGGGAGAAGGAGCATCACTTCATACATACACACATACACGAACGTTAATAAAATCAAGCACAATTCAAACGAAACTTTATTATTGTCTTAGTAAAAGATTAGATACCAATTCCCATCAACATGATCCTTTTTATCTATAAAATTTTTGCAATTATATCTATCACTACCTTCTAAATCAATAAATTGTCCCAGTATTTAATATTTTATAATATCTTGGTCGTCATTAAATTGTTGTTACGATTTATACTTGCCTTTCACAAATATATTGTACAGTACATCAAGGAAAGTTGTTTGAGACATATCAAATGTACACTACAGTATATGTTAGGTTGCCATCAAAATAATCAAGACGGAATGTAACTTCAATTGCGATCACAATAATATTCCAAATCTCATTCCATCCTATTTCATTTCAACCTCATGGACCATCCATATAAGATTTTAGCAAGATTGACTTCAGAAGAGAATTTCTTTGTATCTCGAACCTATAGCATAAATTCGTTCACAATATCAGAGATAAGCTACTCCGCCTCATAATCCGAGAAACTTATTGAGAGTTGTTTTCTCTAGAACTCTTAATGCATTATAATAAGTTTTGTTTCAATTGTTGTGCTGCACTTATGATAATGTATTTGATCTCGTTAGAGAATTTTCTTCATTGTACTTGTGCAAAACAGATATAAAGTGATCAACTAATCTCATCTCAATTTTATAATTTGTAACGGTCCAAGAATTGAAATTGGAAATTCACTCTACGTTAATATGATCGCATCACAAAAATCTGGATTAACAAACGCTTCTTAAAATCATTATAAAATCTTGATATTATTCAATGTCTATCTATATCGTAGGAAATTTTGATAATAAATATCAATAGCCCAGAAAATAAAAACGTAAAACATTTATGTAAAAATGAAATCGATGGGCAATTATGCTTTCTTGGTACATTAAAGAATAAATTTCAAAACTGAAACGTCTATATTACAGACTAATCTGTAAATGGCTTATCCTTTAGCAATCCTGGAATGAAAATGAGTCATTAATATATGATCCATTCAGATGATCTTCCAGTTCGTCCAATCTTCAATAAATAACATAACTGAACTGAATAAAAAATGCCAAGAATTTTTTGAACATATTTCTAATAATTTTGTGTTCAATGTGATAGACGCGAAGTTTCTTCATACTTAAACGCAATTAATAAATTTCAGCCTTTCTTCTATATGATGAAAGAATCTGAGGCATTATTATTGAATCTCAGGTTGTGAGAAGCTTGATTTGAATGCCCACACTTCTCACACTTCTAAAAAAGATATGTCAGACTTTTTCTTAATAAAAAAATTATTAATACAATCATACAAATAAGCAAAACCTGTGGCCGCATACGCTTTTCATCTACATTTATCAAATATCAAGAGAGACATTATTAACCAGTCCCAAGTTATAATTGCAGTTTGAAGCACGTTAACTGTTTGTCCCTTGAATCATAACTATGAGCGTGAAAGAACATTGAACTGACCACTAGAATAATTGAGGGTAATATGTGTCATTTTTAGAACATACTAGTGAGTGAAATTTCGTGTAAAAAAGTAACCTTGTCGTAAGTTAATTACTATATGTCCAAATTACCTTGAAAAAAAAAAAAATACGTGGAGATAAGTAAAATTTTTGCGTAACAGGTAAAAAGAAAAATTTTAAGAACTTAGCAAAGACAAGAATTCCTTGTATATTGATAAAATAAAGTTCTCTTTTGCGAAATGTAAGGACATTGCAAATTTTCAACTCATGTTCATCACATAAACCTGTCAGTTGATCCAGCAAATCACGATCCGCATATGACCCATTAACTTTAGTTTATCCCTGCGATCAATATTCTGAAGAATCATTTGCGCTAATATTTTTTATTAATAGTAGCGTGATACACCACGCAAAAAAAAATACAAACTCATAAATAGATAATTTTGATACGAATTGGAATAATGTGACATAGAATAAGAAGAATATGTATGGCACATAAAGGAAATAAATGAAAGTGCGAAATCAACTGTAAAGAATAAATGTTAAACATTATTCTGTCTAAATAATGCATATGTTTTATGAATTTATTCAATTGTCGCGAAGCACTAAGAAAAAATAGATTTTAAGATTTATCATCCTTATCATCATAATGTTTCTTTTCTTATTATAACCATTTTATTTAATACATAATCATAAAACTTCATAAAAGAATTCTTACCGAACTCGGACATGGTTATAAAATTAATTGTATGTCAAAGTAAAAAGAAAAAAAGATTTTTTTTTAAAAAAATAGGGAATTAGAAAAAAGGATCTTATATAATTAACAAATCAGTTGATATGACATATTATTTTTTCTCATGCAAAAGTGTAATTAATCAGCGTAAATATATTCTTATTTTATTATATACTAATTTAAATTCATTTTTTTTACTCGCACTCCTTTTTATTTAAAATTTTATTTACATACCAGTTATTCGTACTGTAATGTAAGTTATGGGATAAATCCTTTAACAATTTACATGAAAAAATTGTCCATGTTGGTATATTCTATGGATAGTATGATTAAGTCTTAAATTCTGCACGTAAAATTTGTAGAAAATGCTTATTTCATAAAAAAAGACAGCTTAAGAAGTATATGAAGAATCATGTATCCCAATATTTATTGTAACGCGTATTTCACTTTATTAAATTATTATTAATAATAAAAATTCAAAATTTAGAAATACATAGAAACAGTTTCTATCTACTAACTCCATTATAATAATGGATGTGTTGAAAAACAATCATTAATAAAATCAACTATATTCTCGTAAGAACGATTTATTAATACGCTGTTATTACCTATTTTTTGTATAATTATCTCTTTTTCTATATTTTCAATTAATTGATGTTGACCCATTGTCCTCAAATTCATCGTCCTCCTTCTTACCCTTTTTTCTTTTCTTTTCCTTTTTCGTTATTCCCTTACTTTTTTCCAGTTCAATTACTCTGTTGCATCTTTTGATCCATATTAGTTCTCTTATGTTTAAGTAACAGCGCTCCCATATTTCTAATAATAACTTTTTTTCTTCATTAGATTTAAATAGTTTGTTTAGGTTGTGATTATATAATATATATACCTCGCGTCAATTCTCTGATTTTCATGTTATTAGATGCTGCATGAAATATATTTGAAGGTTCCGTCATAAATACATATATTTCTTTTGCGATAAATTGAATTGTATTATATGCTGTCTCATCTTAATAATCGTACAAGTATTAATATTAAATGCTACGCCACATGTTCAGTCGTGTTTTCTATTAAATGATAAATCACTTTATCCTGCTCTATTTGTTAATCGTCTTTGGTACAAGTATTGGGATGCCAATTTTATGGCGACATGTTGAGATAGATTACAGTGAAATTAATTCCATACGATTGGAAAAGTTCATAGTGTTTATGTGTAAAAAACCGAAGCCAATCTATAGAATCTTGAAATTACATATTATTCCAAACTCTCGAATGATTCACACCCAAATACTGTATAATTCACCTAGATTCGAACAACTTTCACGATAAATTTAATTTTTTTAACGTAGACCAACAATAATCTATAATATTATTATAATTACAACATTGACTTATAATTCTTTTTTTTTTATATTCAAATTCTTGAGATACTCAAATTCTTAAATAGTAGAAATCACAACTTATTACTTTTCTAAGAATTGATTGCAAATTTACTGCGCATTTATTGCGCATTTATAATTGTAACAAATTTTAAATAAAAACAAAACTATATTTCTTATATCTAGGCAACTATGACATTATTTCACGGCCAATTATGCCAATTAATAAATTTAGAAATGATAAAGTAACAATTTAGACATAAAGATAGAGGAGAGAAATGAAACTACGTACAGTATATAATCTATGAATTTGAATTTTGGCGAAAGAATATGTTCGTATCATCAAAATCGACAAGTGTCTATTAATGGTCCTCCTTTTTCCAATGTCCATAGTCTCTAACAAAAGATGTACAGTCCATTCATTAACTAAATAGTTTACGTCCTTTATGATAAACACCAATAATGTTGGCTATATGCGGATAATTTTAATTGGACAACCCACATGGATACACATCGAATAACTAGTTAAATTATTTTGATTTTGTACAACCTTGTTAACTTGTTATATAAATAATGGAATAATTTTTTTTTTTTTTTTTTTTTTTTCATGATTTTCAATTTTTCACAATGATAAAACTTAATACGGACTGTCTTAACCTTATTTTTGATGAACTACAAAAAGATAAAAATTCCTTATATTCTTGTTTATTGGTTAATAAAGAATGGTGTAATATTGTAGTTCCAATTTTATGGAAAGAAGTTTCATGGTATGTAGATGATAAATCAGAAAAGAAACTTTTTAATACAATATTATCTTGTTTATCATTAACATCAAAAAAATTATTAAATGATAATAATATAAAATTACCTATAATAAAAAAACCACCAATATTTAATTATATAAGTTTTTGTGAATTTCCAGAAGCAGAAATAGTAGATAATATAATTGAAATGGTATTTGAAGAATTGAATGATAATGATGAAAATGATGAAGATAAAAGAAATCTTTTAGAACAAGAAATTTATAAATTATTTGTTAGTCAATGTGAAAAGATTAAAGAATTAAGTTGGGAAACATCACAACCTTTACCATTATTTCCAGGAGCATTAAAATGTTTTTCAAAATTAAAGAGTTTAGATATTGATATGGAATATATAGATTCTAAATCACTTTATGAGATGTCAAAAATTTCAAAAAATTTATATGAATTATTTATTGAAAATTTTTCAAATGATTCAGGATTAATTTCTTTAATTGATGCTCAAAAGAATTTAAAAAGTATATCATTTTATTCTTATAAAAATAAGGAAGGAAATTGTAAAGAATTAAGTAAAGCAATAGCAAGAAAGAGTAATACAATAAATTTTATTAGTTTAACATCAATTAGTACCATTACACCAACATTCTTAACATCACTTAATAATTTAAAATTTATATCAATTTATAATAGAGAAAAATATGATGAAACAAGAGAAGAGATTAAAGAATTTCAAAAATATCTTTCAATTTCAGAATTTCCAAATCTTCGATATCTTTTAATTAATAGATTATCATGTTTTAAAGAAATTTCAATGTTAATTGAAAAAACCAAAGGAAATATTATAAATGTTGAAATTTCAGATTCTGATAAAACATCAAAAAATACAGGAATTTTAATTAAATCAATTTCTAATAATTGTCCAAGGATTAAAATATTATCAACATATCTTGAATCAATAGATTTTATTCATGTAAAATTATTATTATTAAATTGTAGAGATTTAGAATCTTTAAGATTTTATAGTTTAAATATAAATAATGAAAATGATAATATAGGAGATGAATTATTAGATATTTTAACTAAATATTCACCAAATTCTTTAACTCGAATAAGAATTAGTGGTAGTTGGAAATATTCTATTAATATTTTTGAACAATTTTTTGATAGTTGTAGAGAAAGAATTTTATCATATTTTGCAATTATACCTGATAATATTATAAATTATATTAAAGATGATCATAAATCAATTATTAGGAAATATATTAGAGAAGGTGTAATAAAAAGTTCAAATTATGATTTTTATTAAAATTTCATATATATGAAATATCCAATATAACAATTGTAAAACTGTATATTAAATAAAATAAATAAATTTACGAAAATTTTCATCACAGTGTCACATGCATTTTAATTTACGGAATTTATCATACCTTATTATGCGGAAATAATTTATCTGATCACGACGAGTGATAGTATTTTTGATAACAAAGCTTTACTATAAGCGAAACATTAGGTAATCAACATGATATGTTTTAATGTGATAACAAATGCTTTGCGTTATAATTTTGATTCACGTTAATATAACTTAGTTCTTACTTTATTGATATTGTTATAACTTATAACATACAAATACAATACAAATTTAAAGCTTATTGGTACATATAATTAAAACCATACTTAATTTAATTCAATAAATAATTTCTTAAATATTGTGTTAAATGAAATTCAAGATTCTGCTTTTGTTCGATAATAAATGATAATCGTTCTTCTTGTTGTTCTTGTTGAGGTTTAATTCCATAAATATTTTCATTCAAGTAATTAGTAATCGAAGAAGGCGAAACAATTTCACAAGTAACCTGATAAAATCGATTGTCATATTCTTGTTGATAAAAGAAAATATATTCATTTTCATTGGATTGAGTGTTAAATTCTTTACTATTCAATGATTTATTTAATAGGAATATAACGTTGCTGTAAGAGATTTCGTTACATTTAATGTTGTAATGGTAAAGTTCATTCGGTGGTCTATAAAAGAAGTTGAATGGATGGATGGTGAGCTGCGGCGAGACCATCACGTGATTCGCATCGTACACGACGGGAAAATTGTTTGGATTGTAAAGTGAATTATAATATGTTGGAGTTGTATGAAAGGTTCTTACATCGGAAAATTGTACATGCGAATTATTCGAACTCGAACTCATATTTAAACCTTATATAATTGATAATTAATACTATGAATTATATTGATTTTTTCACGAAAAAATTTCACGAAAAATCGCGTATAAAGTAAGTTTTATAAGTTTTTCTTTAAGTTAAATAATTAACAATATGATTATTTTATTTTATTTTATTTTAATTTTGAAAATTTTAATATGAAAAAAGAAAACCTTTTTTTTTAAAAAAAAAAAAAAAGTGGGAGACGAAATCTTTGGTCCTTTCAAGGGCTTATTTATATTTCATTTCTAAACCCTTTTCACTTGCTTATCTACTACTATATCTGGTTAAATTACATGTTGGTTGCATGATTCTATTAATATGTGAGGCTTTTTTATCAGTGTAACGCGTTATTATCGATTTTTTAATGAGTTTGTTCTATTTTATTATGAAAAATCTGCACGAATGTAACGAATGTAAAATTCAAAGATATTTTTATACATTTTATATATATTAATAGCTCATAAGTATTGTTATTTAGAACTTAAAATAGTTCTTAAATCTGATAAGAGCCCAAATTTGTTTATTTGCTAAAGAGAAAAAGATCCGATCCTTGATTGTTAAATCCATTTCTAATGAGTATGGCGCAGAACATTGATCAACAAATCAAAGTATGTTCAGTAATGAATAGAATATAGTTAAAGAATGTTTTTTCTTTTTTTTTTTTATAAAAAATAACCCTAGAATTCGCGTTAGATCAATATTATCAGAGGTAAAAGATCACGTAAAAAAAAATTTTTTTTTTTTAATGTATTAATTTGTTCATTACTTCCGAGGGAGAACATAGTAAACATGTAATGTATGGAACCGTTATGCATGTAGTATGGTTAAACATCACATATAAACAGGTCACGTGAACATAAGTGGTATACAATAGAAACGGTCTGGGCTTGTCCTTATTTGGTAATAAGCGCGTGATGTTTAAGCATACTGTACACTCTTTCTGAAATCTACATTTCTAAGAATTCCAAGAAAATAAGAAATACACGTGATGATCTACATCAATTTTTTTTTGTATATTAATTCTTCAAGAAAATTTACCTAGCTTCACACAAACTAAAAAATATAACCACCTAGTAAGCTCATGGTAATATTAAAATTTTCAAACTTTTATCGTTAATAAACACTGTCACTATTCTTCTTCTGACAGATTTTTGCCAGGAAGCATTGCGGAATTAGACTTTTATTAGTTTAATGAAATGATATATATATATATATAAGTACGAACATGCAGGGGAAATCCTTTTTCTATGAGCGTTTATAATGTTTGCCAGAAAGTATTGTATATGTAATGAAGTAGCTTCAAATAAAACAAGAGTTGAAGACCAGCGTTCAATGTCAAAATATTGTCGCCTCATTTTATGCTCAATATATCTTTAGTTATTCAGAACTTGTTGAAGCATCACATATTGATATGTCAGATATATAGATGATGACCGATTAGCTTCCTGAGCATATTACTCTTGAAATGGGCAATTTGTTTTATTTGGGATATTTTAGTCCGATTATAGCATGCTTGCTGATGCAAAAAAAAAAAAAAATTTACTTGATGTTCATCATTTATCTCATACTTGAAAAGGACGTTCAAATCACAAACGAAAATAAGGTGAATAAAGAGATCAATAGGGGGATTAACAAGATATATGTATTATCCCATCCTTATGTCTTAATTTTATAGTTACAGTATACCTAAAAAAAATTATTTATTTATTCTCTTTTTTATACATTGCAATATTTAACACAAAAGTGAAAATGTAGTATAGCGTAGAATGTTACGACACTAATAAATTAAGCGCCTGTTCCTCGCAGGTAATAATTAGATTTCAAGGTGAGGAAACAAACACATATTACACTTCTTCTCTTTTGTTGATTCAACATCTTTAGTAATTTGAAACACGAAATAACTAATTGATTTTTATAATTATAGGTAGCAGAGGGTAGTGTAAATACCGGGTCAAAAATTTTTATGCAATGATAGTATGATCCCATAGAAATCATGAAATTTTGAAAGTTATTTGAAAGTTTAATTCTGAGAGATTAATGGCAAATTTTCATATTGGCATTTGCTTATGCACAAAGCGTTACGCCAACTACAATAACTACAATAACGCTTACAATACTTACTACTTGACATCCTAAAAACATCTCTTCCTTGCCGTCAAGAAATTTTGGTTTATTAGCGATTTGATTAACATTTTATTGTCTTGTAGATGATTTCACTTCACCTTAACATGACATGATTGATAGTGATGGCGCTCGTAAGGAATTGCAGTGTGATTCATTTAACAGTGTTGTGGTATAATTATGGATATTATAATTAGAAAGAAATGTCTATGAAAAAGGTGGGATAGTTTTTTTTTAATCGGATTTATTAATTTAGAGATCAAAATCTTGAAGTATAAGGAAGATTTTTTAGGAAGTTTATCCAATTTTATATTTTTATTATTGTTTTTACCTTTTAGTGATTTTGGGGATGAATTGCTTTATGCCCAATTGTAAAAAGAAACTAATTGAACTAATTGACTAGGAGATTATTTGAGTATGAAACTATTACAAAATGCAATTAAATTAAGAATTAGAAAAGGATAAAGATTTTATAAACAGAAAGATGGTAAGTGCTGCATTATTATAAGCTTTACATGACTTTCATTGACGTTATGAAATTTTTTTTTTTTTTTATCCTTTTAGGAATGAAATTTTGGATTTTTCCAGAATAGAATACGTTAGATTTTGGTCTATTTTGCTTTTTAATTTATTCATAACCAAATTCATGTTTCTGATGAATCTTCTTCCTCATTCAGGAAGTCAGAACGCTACCTTTTATTATTGCATCATCAGCTGATAAAATAGGACTATCATATCGTTTTAGATTATGCATATGATAGACACATGGCCGGATGTTATCACTTTAGAGCAGAGATGATCCACGAAAATATATTTGTTACACTCTTAGTCTATATTTATTTATTTATTTTAATTTACTATAGTTTAGCTTTAAATATACTTTAGATGAGTTGATAGTCTACTCTATGATCTACTTTACAGATGGGAAAAGAATAACTTTAATAGGATCGTGTATAATTTGCTTTTTATGTTATTTGTAGATAGTATAGAATCATTCATTCAATTCGGAAAATGGTAGCCAATTATTATTTAATAAATATTTGTAACGAATTGTTTTTAATATAGATAAATATTTATTTAATGCAAATGTTTATTTGTGTAATATCGTAATATCCCTTTATTTATGTCTAAATAAATTCTCCGATCACCTTCTACGATATTCTACATATTCTACGAACATTCCAATATGTAAAAAATTTACGCGTTCCCGAATAACGAAAAACATAATCATTATAAAAATGCGGTACGTGCCATAAATAGTTACACATGATGTAATATTTGTATACTTGCGCAGCATATAATTATAAGTATGATTAATTGCATGAATTACCTCATATTCTCATATTACGAAGACTATATTATAAATCATTAATTGAAGAAAATCACGCACATTTCCAGTATCCAATTACCTTTTTTTGGCATTCGAGATAACTAACATAACGTAATATATTTTTTTTACCATTTTTTTAATTTGATTATCTTCGTCCAGATTCTCCATACTTCTTCTATTTATAGATTGATAATAATATTAGACAGAGTAGTTTTTAATATTTTAATATTTTAATTAATACTCATATATTATATTACGTTTAATAAAATTTAAGATTTTCAGTTTGGAAGAAAGATCCCGAAACCAAAAAAAAATCGACACTTAAAAATGATGTGCTTGTGCTTTACAAACAATCAAATATTTTTTTTTCGAATTTGAAGACTTCATTATCATCATTGACTTATTTATTTTAATTGACATATATAGATTTATGGAAAATTTTTTAGGGAAGTTTGCTAATTTAAATGCGTAAGAAAAGAACCTATAAGTTTGAAGTTTAAAAATAAAAAATGAAGTAATCGATGATGATCATATATATAAATGGGAATAGTGTGGCATATTACATGCCCGACAATGGAAATTTCTTAATTATAATTTCGGGCTTTTAATTTGTTTGGTAAACATTATGAGTCCGTAACTCCGTGAGACGCCAAGCTATTTACTTTGCAGATAATGATCTGCAATGATTATTAATTATTTTTTTCTTTTAAATTTCATTATAAATATTGGGGAATAAAGACAAATATACGTTAAGTCGATCCAGAAAAAAAAAAATAATTCACTCGGTTTTTTCTTTTTTATAAAAAAAATTCGATACAAAAATACAAAATGAACGAAACAATTGATAATTCGATTATTATCAGTAACTCTAATGAGTTAAATAAATGCGTGTTCATTAATACGAACAATCCAGAAGTAAAAAATCACGTTCAAAAGAAAAAACTTCCTTATCCTTCATTAAAACCACCATTTCCACCTTTAATCGATCCAAAAGATTTATTGATTATTGGTAAAGATAATAAACCTACTAGGTCCCCAAATGCATTCATTATTTATCGTAAAGTTTTCTTTAAAACTATTAAAAATGAAGGATATGTTTTACCAATGACCTCCATTTCTTCGATGGCTTCACAATCTTGGGAACAAGAACCTGAAGAAATTAAAAATTATTATAAAGGACTTGCCAAAGAAGCATTTAATTATCGAAACGAACGATTTCCTAAAAAAGTTAATAGACGTAAAAAACGAGAGAAATGGAATGTTATTTCTTTTAAGAGTACTATTCCTAATAACGATGATGGTAATAATGTTTCAGAAAATATAAACAATGAAATATTGAATATCGGAAATTTACAATTACCTACTCCTACTGAAGATATTCTAAAAAATCCGTTAATTAGTGCTTTGATTAATGAAGTCTTATTACAAAATCTTATCGCGTCCAATGAATTATCTTTAAATGCCTTGAACAATAACAATAATGATCAAAGTAATATACAGTCTGATAGTTCATTAAACAATCTCGAGCAATTCAATAATTATTTCAATGATAATAATGAATTACAACAAGAAAAAATTTATCCAAGTCCAGATTTATCATTGAGCGATGAAAGTAATCTTGCATCTCCAAATTTAGATGAATTATTTAATACTTTTCCTATCGAAAATTTACAGCAAATGGAAAATAATAATAACGAACAGATTGAACAAGAAAAAGAAATTCCCCAATTTGTTATCAACGACTTGTCACAACAATTCTGGTTTTCTCAAAATAATGAAACAACAGGTTTAAATACTTTTGATAATTTAACCACTTTTTTCGACGATACGCAATCAAACTTTCTCGATTGCCTCGATAACTTGAACAATGACAACGTTACCATAAATGATACAAATACAGAAGTGAATTCCGAGCCTTTACCTGATTTTATAGAATACGAAGGTCCCGACGATTTGGGAATCACAATCTCAAATGATGATTTCGAAAAATTTTTCTCCTTATAATTAATATATTTTTTATATGGAAAATTTATATAATATTATACATATAAATATATATTTTATTTCAATATGAGAATAAGTTGTAAATAAATGTATGTATTAGATGATATCATTGGCTTTTCAGCTAATAAAAACGACTATACCGAATTATGCCTTGAATTATGGGGGAGTATTTGGCAATTACCTTCTTTTTTTACCTACATTATTTCCCTTTTATACTAGTATTTCTAAGATGTTTATATATTATAATTTTTAATGTATGCGTAACAATCCCCCTAAGCAATTTAAGCATTATGTCTTATTAAATCATAAAGAATCAATATTTTGAATTAAAACTTTGTAGTAATAAAAAAAAGCTAAATTCTGTTTTATAAAATTTTTATATAATTATTGAAACAGTATTATAGTTGAAATATAACATTAAGTAAAGGAAATCTTAATATATAATAAGAAATTTAAAATTAATAAATATTTTTTTTTTATAAATCTTAAATTCTACTAATTTGTTAAAATTCTTCTTTTTAATAAAAAAAAAATTCAAAATTTATATTATACAAAATATATTTATAATTTAAAATGACTTATTTAAAATAATAATAAATTAAATTATTTAAATATAATTAATATCCTTTACTTTTAATAATATTAAATTTATATAATAATTTTAATTAATAAAATTTGATTTATATATTACATACAATCTTTTTACAAAATTTTAATATTAAAATAATAAAATTATTATAATAATTTGACTTATAAATGCTAACACTAACAAAAATTTTTTAATTTATACTAGGTATTCATATATGTATTACATAACTTTATTAAAAAGTTATGTAAAAAAATTTTTAATAAATATAATTTTAAAAGAAATATACAGTATATATACAGTGTATTACAAAAAAAAACTGGAATTAAAAAATTAACCATAATACCATGACAATTTTACCAAATTATATATGAAATAGCTTATTTGAAAGATGGAAACCATAGATTTTATCAATAAAAAAATTAATATGGAATTTATTTCAGCAATTTTTCTATAATTAAACTTATAATTGTATTTTTTTTATTTAAAAATTTTTATAATTATTTTAGAGCAAATTTATATTTTTTTTATAAAATACTTTATATTGTTAAAGAATTTTTTTTTTTATTTGCATTTTTCCATTTATCTTAATAAATACAAGAAATTTTTAGTGAATTTGCATCTATTTTTTAATTTATGAATTTCATGCCAAATTTTTCTTTAAAATTAACATTTGTAGCTAATTTATTCAAAAGTAAAAAAGCACTAGAGTCCCAAATGATATCAAAATGTAGTTCCAATATTTAAGTTTATTTTATAATTTAAATGATAAAAATTGGGTTTGTTTTAAATGAACTACATGCATTTTTGTAATTTGAACCATTTATTATGATACTGGAAGTCTATACTCGATAATTACATGATTTTATTTCAATTTTCTGAGTCAATTCTATATCATGTGATCCAGAATTCAGCCAATAAAAAACTGGAATTTTTTGTGTAAAGTACTAATAAAATGCAGTTTTTAAAAATTTTTTATTATAAATAAGATAAAACATAAGAAAAAGTAAATAGCAATAAATCGTAACTATTATTTTATAAAAGTTATACATTGATAAAAAATTTAAAAATTACATTTGATTCATATTATGATAATTCAGGCTGGCATTATCACAATGTATGAAGTTAGCCCAAATTATCATAAGTTCTGACCAATATATTTTGTTTCAAATTTAGGCTAATTATATGAAAATCATGCAATTTTAATGCTTATAACTTTTTACATAAACATTCTTTTAAAACATCTGACTGGTAATTTAATAGAGCTTACCTCGAAGAATAAAATTACCAGTTTATTTTTTCTAAATTATATTTTTTTTAAGAAGTTGAAAGATTTTTAAATGTTACATTTTCTTTACTGCAGATTTTTTAATATTTATTTTTTGGTATTATTCTTAACAATATTTGAGTATTTAAATTAAATCTAATCCACCAATATTTTATAAATTTAATTTATATTTTTTACTTTGAAGTAAATAATTATTGCTAATTTTTTTAAAAAATAATATAAGCATTTATAATTCAAAAATCAAAAGATATCAAAATATAGCTTTAGATCTCAAATTTACTATACAATTTACACAATGTAAGTTGCATTTATTTTAAGTGTATAACATGTATTTTTATTATATGAATAATTTTCTGATTTTTTTTGTAACATACTGTATGTATTTTTATCTGTTCTGTAAGTTTACTTAAAATATAAAATTAATTTTAAATGTCAATTTTAATTTATTTAACAAATTTTTTTTTTTTTCCTGTTTTTTTATTAAATTTAATTCTGCCTAATATTAAATAATCAACATAAAAAATTTACTTTTTTAAAAACCTATATTTGAATACCCTATGACCTATATACAAATAAAACTCATTTACAGTCAACTCTTTATAAATGCACCTCTTTTGGAACTGGATAAAAGTATGTGATTATAAAGGGTGTGCCATGTGTATTTATAAAGAGTAAATAATTAGATATTATATATACTTGAAACTTTATAAGTAATGTATTTATAGAAAATTGACTGTATACATCAGCAAGTTTTAAAAGTGTTGCTTTACATAATTTTAGTGTTAATTAACATTAAGAAGTTGTTTAATACAATATATCCTATTGTTTAATACTGTATACTGTAATGATTAACATTAAACGTATAATTTTACAAGTTTTTTTATGTTGTTTAATGTCAAGTATAGTTCAATATGATATGTAATGTAGTTTAATGCTATCAATTAATGTAAACAAACACAAAATGTTATTTTATTAAAATTTAGTATAAAAAAACACTAGTTGTTATTTCTATTTATTAATACTATACATATTTTTCAACACATAATGTAGTTTAATATATTGTTAAATGCTAATAAGCAATATATATAAATATGAAATTTGTTATACTGCAATTTAGTATAAAAATACACACATTTTTATTAGTATTTTTTAACATTATATATATTACCCTATAAAAAGTATTATACTTAAAATATACTTAAAATATATTTAAAATATACTTAATTTAAAAATTGCAAAATACTTATAATATCATATTTTTAATATATTTAAAATAGTTTTTTACTTCAAGTCACCGGGGGTGATCATCACCGTTGGCCAGAATTATCAATTTTTACCGGCACTATATTTTTTTAATGCTAGTCGATCGTCATAATTTCAGTTACCGGTGATCATCACCCCCGGTGATAGTTAGAAAAATTCTTTAAAATATACTTAAAATTATCTTAAAATATATGTCTAATATATTTAATTTTTGCCCATATACTTAAAATATATTTAAATTATATTTAAATTAAAATTTAAGTATATTATAAGATTATTATAAGTATATTTTTTACATACTTAAAATACACTTAAAATATATTATGAAATATATTATAAGAATATTTTAAGTATGTAAAAAATATATCTATAATATACTTAAATTTTAATTTAAGTATATTTTAAGTATTTGGGCAAAAATTAAATATATTAGAAATATATTTTAAGATAATTTTAAATACATTTTAAGTATATTATAAGTATTTCACAATTTTTAAATTAAATACACTGGTCAGAATAGTCCATTTCGGCAAAATTTTAAATTGCCGAATGTTGGACGAAATTCGGTCTGACCTTAGCCGATCAGTACCAAAAAAATCGGCAACTAATTTTATGGACGATTTGCACCGTAATGCCTGCCACTTGGCAATCACAAATCGGCAAAAATTCATTAAAAATCGGAAATAAACTATTCGTCAATTTTTTACTAGACATTCGTCCAAATTTCAAATTGCCGAATGTTGGACAAAATTAAGTCTAATTTTGTCTAATTGTTAATGATTTTTATGTATTTAGCTTATTTTTAATTTTGTAATAACAATCAATTGATTAAATTTTATTATTTCGCTTTATTAAAATTACATATTAAAAATTATCATATTAAATATCTAATATCTACATTCTACAGTATCTGTCTATTTACACCTACTACCATTCACCATTCACCATCTATTGTCAACCATTGTCAACCATCGATCGCAGCTGATACCTACAAAATAAAAAAAGAAATAAAAATTAAAAATTTTCTTAAAGTTTTGAAAAGAAAGCAAAGTTTCGAAACTCACCTATCCAAAGCCCAAGAACCGAAAGTCAAAATCTACAAAATAGAAAAAAGAAACAATTAAAAAAATATTTCTTTTAAAAAGTTTCAAAGTTTCACTTCGAAACTCACCTATATATCCAAATGCCCTAGAGCTGAAAGAAATCTACAAAATAGAAAAAAGAAACAATTAAGAATACCAATTTTTTTTAAAGTTTTGAAATTTTACTTCGAAACTTACCCATATATCCAAAGCCCAACCGAAAGTCGAACTTACAAAATAGAAAAAAAATTAAAATAAAATTAAAAAAAAATCTTTTTTTAAAATAAGTTTCGAAGTTTCACTTCGAAACTTACCCATAAATCCAAAGCCCAAGAACTGAAAGTCGAACCTACAAATAGAAAAAAAAAATTAAAAAAAAATTAAAATAATTTTTTTTAGAAAAAGTTTCGAAGTTTTACTTCAAAACTTACCCATATATCCAACGCTCAAGAATTGAATGCCAAAACCTACAAAATAGAAGAAAAAAAAAATCAAAAAATATAATAAAAATAAAAAGACCAAGATTCGTATTTGTACTTACGAATCTTGGTTCATCTATTCGTCGGAAATCCACCTGACCTATAAAAAAAAGAGAGGAACGGTTATTAGTAACCGTTCGTAATATTAAAAATAAAACAAAAAAATAAACCAAGATTCGTATATACTTACGAATCTTGGTTCTTTTCTGATCTTCGGAATTCGGAAGTCCACCGAACCTAAAAAAAGAACGAATGGTTATTAGTAACCGTTCGTTAATAAAATTAAAAAAAAATAAAATAAAAAACCAAGATTCGTATATATACTTACGAATCTTGGTTTTTTTTCGTTCTTCGGAACTCGGAAGCCCCTCCCACCTATAAAAAATAAAAGAAAAAGAACGGTTAATAACCGTTCATAATATTAAAAATTAAACAAAAAAAAAAATAACCAAGTTTCGAACTTACGAAACTTGGTTTTTTCCATTTTTCCATTCTTCGGAAGTCACCCGAGAGCTGACCTAAAAAAAAAGTAAAAAAGAATGGTTAGTATTAACCGTTCATATTTTATTTAAAAAAAAAACAAAAAAAAATCCAAAGAATTCGTACTACTTACGAATCTTTGGATTTCTGTACTTCGGA